GGTGGTCAAAATTTCCGGAGCCCTCCACTACGGCGTCTCTCATAATCATATGATGGCTTTGGGACGTTACACCCAACATATCAATCAATCTATCAATTTCCTTGGTATAATTGTCTGTTAACGTGGTTACGTAGTTACGTAGTTAGTTACGTAGTTGTTAGGTGGATACTGTTTTCTTTGTTTTGTATTTTTCTCTTTTTTTGTCAGATACTGCCCAAGTATATATTGTGCGGTTCTAGCAAATAAATATTGTTGTAAGTCAGTGCCGCTGTCTGTCTCCTTCTTTCTCTTGTCCCTCGTTATTGGCGCTGTTTTTTATGTGGATCATGTCTGTTAGTGTTTTGTGTGTTTACGCGCGAGATGGGAAAGCGAAGTTTCAGGTGAGAGGGTAGGACTGAGGCACTTCGAGTGTGGAGCTACCGCGGTAATGAGAAGGAGCTTCATATTACTGCATCCCATACCGTGGACGTCCATCATACTCTCTACAGTTGCCTCACTCACTGATTTGCCCCCAGACACTGAGCTATAACTCAGTAAAGGGCTGCGAGAATTTCAATGTTCTTCTTCATACTATTTCCCTCAACGAAAACGGCGAGAGGGAGACTAGGTGGATTCGTCTATAGTCTCCCATATTGCCATACCATCACTGAGGGTATTCTCCTCGCGTTTTTTATTGCTACTTTTACGTAAAATTCCTACAAACTTAGTATTTATTTAATGGCCCGCCAAGGAGCTGGTATTCATTTCTGCGCAGCTGCGAAATTACCTCAAGATGTCCAGCTCATCAATATGATTGCACGGGCCAGCTTTCTTTGTTTTCTTTTTGCAAACACGCTAAAGCGATTTTGAAGCCTGAAAGACAAGGTTTATGCGTATGATATTTTTTTATTTTTTTTATTTCCAGGTACTGTTGGCCGATTGGGCCGTTACAGGGGTGGGGTAGAAAACTGACATAACAACTGTCATGTCATGCGTAAAAAAGAAATGCATAGCCGATACAAAAGGAATACATCACTATACTACGTTCTACGACTTACATGCTACATCACATACATCACGAAATACACTTCCCAATATTACATCCTTCAACGTACATGAGACAAGTTACAGCAAATAGATTCATAGTCAAAAGATGACAGGCACACACACCAAAAACAGCAATCACCGTTTACGAAGATTCACCTAGAAAATATTTCGTAACATTGTTTTCAAAATGTTCTGCAGTTTGAGAATCACGTATAGCATCGGGTAATACATTCCAGTCTTTTATTGTTCAAGGGAAAAAAGAGTATGCATATGTGTTCACACGACATTGAGGAACTAGATATTTTCTGAGGTGGTCGTTTCGTAGGCTCCGCACTTGACGGGGATACAAGCACCAGAGTTTTCTCTAACACATCTTTCTTGAAACTGAGGGGTCATATTGGGGACCATCGGCCTGCGACTATACCCACTGACAATGTTGTTGTGGAGCCTTTGCACTTCACCCTAGTTTTACTTATTTTGCATGATTCGTCGTAAACCCTTCTCTTCCATAATCTGACACCGTCTTTGCCCTTCCCAAATTAGGGTAACCGATTGTAGACATCTTCCGATTCACCTTCCTGCAGTGTATTTCGTACGCCGCGGTGGTTTAGTAGTTCGGGTGCCCGGTTGCTGACCCTAATGTCACGGGTTCGACCACAACGGTGGCGGTTGCACTTCGATACAGGCGAAATGGTAGAGTCCGTGGTGCAATGCCAGTGCACGTTAAATAACATCGGGTGGCTGATATTTCATAGCTCTTTAATAATAATAATAATAATAATAATAATAATAATAATAATAATAATAATAATAATAATAATAATGTTATTGTTATTAAAGTTATTTTTATTATTATATAGGGTTTCACGTATCGAAACCACGATATGACTGAGAGACCCTGTAGTGCACAGGGCTCCGGAAATTTCGACCGTCTGGTGTTCTTTAACGTGCAGTGACATCGCACACTACACGGGCCTCTGCCACTTCTCCTCCATCAAATACGACCGCCGCGGCAATGATCGAACCCCCAACCAGTTCTCCTTTACACGGCGTCTGTCTCAGTCGTATCGAGGTTCTGACGCGTAAAACCCAGATATCATTGTTAACCTTCCAGTCTTTCCTTTCGCCTTACTTTTTTTTTTCATCGCTCATACACCATAGCCTTATCACTGTGAACTAAACACCAGGTGGCACGCGCGAAAGGTACTTAGACGAAGGACACGCCAGTGTCTGTTCTTCAGCTTCCATATTTCCTTTTCTTCCTCTCTCGCTGCCACGTGTTTCTCCGTTTCCTCGCTAATGTCCGGTGATCGCAGCCGCGTGTCTGCACATATAACAGTCACCCTCTTCGCCACCACGTGTCTCTGCCTGTCTCCCCCCTCCCTGCTGCACTGTCATCGTCATCGCTGCGTAGGCGGGCAACTGCGCGTTAATGGCCGTTCCTGGTGGTCACGTGGCCCACGTTGCTGTTTGTTCTTGCTGTTTTTCGTCGCTCATGATCGATCCGAAGGAGAACCTTTCGGGGAGGCTGTAACGTTCTCCGGGGCTGTGCCCGATTAACAGGAGGAGGAAGAGAAGGAGAGAGAAATGCCGAGAAGGAAACTGTGCACGCGGCACGGAATCGGTCGCGTAAGCATTTAGGGTAAATCCATTTCTGGCTCGCAGGCGACGACAGCGCGGCAGCTATGCGCCTGTACGGTACATATTATCCGCTGAAAAGGGCCCTGGGCACGTTCGGCCTCTTCTTGTCAGCAGGGGGCGTTCCTTTCTTATTTTCTGCATGGTGCACGAGTGGTAATCGCTGTTGGCCGAGGAGGAGGCGAGGTAATCGTGGCACCTTGTCCAGTCAACGGCACTGCAGGAGACGCGTGTCTTTTGTTTTGTTTTTTTGTTTTTTGTATTTCTCGTTTCTTTGTTCAGAAAAAGAGCATAATAACCGCGTTGGGACTTGCGTGTCAAATCAATTTTCATCTACGGATTACGAATAAGTCTCGACTGGTGGATATCATTATGTAACCGACCAATTCAAGCAGGCGTAGACCTCTCGAACGACGGACCCATAGATGACCGAAGATTGAAGGTCGTTCTCGTGTGTGATACTCGTGTGTGATGCCTAAATTCACAGATCATCTGCTTATAGTGAACATTTCAAACTGTCGGGTAACATAAGGGATAATTCAGCCATAAAGCAATTAAATAAAAATGGGCTAAGTACACTACCCCGCAGAACTCCTTCCCTGACTTCATGCTCTTTGTTTTTGCCGTCAGCTGCGTCAATGAAGACTCTCCTGTCTCTTAAGAATTCCGCAATTCATCTTAGGGTTCGGCCAAGTATTCCCTACTGAATTAAATTCTGTAGTACATGAACGTGGCTGGCTGTGTCAAATGCTCGCTTTATATCTACAAATACTGCAACAACGACTCTTCCATAGCTCCTCTCATGATCTACATAAGAATGGCATACATAGTGCACCAGCGCCTACGGAAATCTGCCACAATTTCAGAAAGCTCATTCGTACATTTCATCTACACTGAAGTCTAGCGTCTATAATCTTTTCCATGAGTTCACACAGACAGCTATAGTCAGTCTGAAAGGACGGAAAAAAAACTGTGAATAAAAGTGTTTTGCCGGGTTTGAGAATGGGGACCACTCTTGCAACTTTCCAGGAGGAGGGAAAGCATTCTGTGTTTCGTGCGTCATTAAATAATTTTGACAAAGTATCTGTGGCCACTGAAACCAGGTTGTTTGGTGCCACATATGTTACCCCATCAGAATGAGCTGCTGTCCTCTGGCGGCACGCTGCAAGCGTGTTATTTATTTCTTCAAATTAAAACGGATAATCGAGGTCATCATGATGTCTATTGAGAGAAATTATTTAATGTTTCGTTATCCTCAACAGACTTACTGTATTCAGGCGTGTGCCCGGCTGCACCTGTTCGTGCACTATGCTGACAAAATTCGTCCGCAACGGTCGTTTCCGGTACATTCTTCGCTAAATTTAAGGCCCTTAAAGGTTGTTGATGTGTTACTGTCCCGCTTAAAGAGCCTAGAACATACTACAATTTTGACTCGGGTGTAAGTGGCGTTAGCGAAGTGCAGGATTCTCGCCAGTGCTTTGTGCCTATAGTCTATCCAGTTGTCGACTCATGTGGTCATGCGTTTTTTGACAGTCACGGTAATCTTCACGTATACCCGTGTGTCTCTATTTTTTTTTTTTTTGCTTTCATCTCTGCAGCGAATGGTCTTAAATTTTTTGTATTCAGCATCTACACCAGCGTAACCTTCGGGAATTTTAATGTATTTAAAACGCTGGTTTAATTTGTTTCCTCTGAGCCATACTAAGCTGTCAGTGTCAGTGACAGTATCAGCTTGGTGTGACATATGATAACGAAATGTTTGCCAGTTAGTTATCTTTGCTGAGCGCCTATATTTAGAAAAAAACGTAGTTTTTGGTGATGTATAAGGATACGTAAATGATCACTACCTCTTGTTTCGATGCCTGTTCGCCATGAAGCTCCAGATGCAATATCATGTGAGCAGAGTGTGAGGTCTAGGACACTCGAGTACTTTAAACCCCATGAGAACGTCGCTGAACCGTCGTTTAACAAGCACAGTCCTGAATTCCTTTCTGTAGGTTATTTCCACCACGGTCGCAGTAGGCACTTTCCTACATGGGAATGTGAGCACTGACATTTCCGCAATATGTCCCAGCTTTTGTGTACTACAGAAAAAGGCGTGTCAGGGTAGAAAGTGAGGTGTTTGTAGAAGGCTCTAACTTCACATGCTACATATTCTGGGCAATCGGGTGTTGTAGCATTTAACTGTACTGATGACAGATCTCTTCGCACACAGTTCTGTTTGAATCCTGTTCATTGCATTAAGTGACCTCTGCCTTACGGGGTGCTTTTTCTTTAAGTTTCATTTAGCTTTACTGCATTTCTTTTCTACATTTGCGTATTTCTAACCTACGCAGAGCCTGGTGAACTTCGTCTACTTTGCCTCCATCCTTGCTCAGACGATCGGTTGCAGCGGATCGACAGAGACGGTGTTCCAGCGCCGCGAGCGCATACAGACCATCTCGCGGCGACTCAGCGCTCGTTCGTCGGCCTTCACCACAGGACTTTCCGGCGCTGCACGAACGCCCGTTCGCAGGCGCCACTCGACGCAGCTGCCCGTGATGGGCTCCGCCTCGGCGTAGCTAGCACCACACGTGCTCTGCAAGGAAGTGCACTTTCCCGTGCCAGCTGCAGAGCTGCGAAAGCTGTCGTGTATGTGGCTCTGTGCATGCGTATCTACGTTTCATAAAATGAATTTATCTACGTGTTTGCCTGTTTGCTCATTTTAGTGATAGATAGATATAGATAGATAGATAGATAGATAGATAGATAGATAGATAGATAGATAGATAGATAGATAGATAGATAGATAGATAGATAGATAGATAGATAGATAGATAGATAGATAGATAGATAGATAGATAGATAGATAGATAGATAGATAGATAGATAGATAGATAGATAGATAGATAGATAGATAGATAGATAGATAGATAGATAGATAGATAGATAGATAGATAGATAGATAGATAGATAGATAGATCGTAATGGTCATCATCATCAGCATAACCTCCTAACTACGCCCTCTGCAAGGCAAAGGCCTCTCGTTCCGCCCATCAAACCAGTCGTATGCTTTCTGCTGCCACGTAACGCACGCGAACTTTTTAAGCTCTACGGCACACCTAACTTTCGGTCTACCCCTCATGCGTTTGCCTTCTCGGGGTATCCACTCAGTTACCCTTAATGAGCAGCGGTTATCCTGCCTACGTGCTACGTTCCCGGCCCATGTCCATTTCTTCTTCATTTCAATTATGATATCCTTAACCCCGGTTTGTTCCCTGACCTACACTGCTCTCTTAATGTGTCTTAAGGTTGCACCTATCATTGTTTTTTTTTAATCGCTCACTGCATCGTCCTCAATTTAAGCTGAAACTTTTTTGCAATCCTCAATGTTTCTTGTCCGTGGGTAAGTACCGCTAAGATGCAGCTGTTATATGTCTTCCTCTTGAGGGTTTGAGGCAGACTACCATTCATGATTTGAGAACGCTTGCTGAATGTGCTCCATCCGCTGCTTTTTCTTCTAGTTATTTCACTCTCGTGGTTCAGCTCCGCGGTTACTACTTGTGCTAAGCAGGAGTATTCCTTTACATCGCCACCTATCTCAAAGCGCTGTCCTCTGCCGAGGCGGTTGTACAATAATATAGTTTTGTGCATATTACTTTTCAAACCTGTGCTGCTTTCCGTCTCCAGTTTAACCACTTCAATAATCGTGAGCTGTAATTCGTTCCCCGAGTTACTCATCAATGCAATGCCATCAGCGAATTGCACGTCTCTAAGATACTTTCTATAAACTCTTATTCTTAACTCTTTCTAATCTAAGGCCCTGAAAACCTCCTGCAAAACACGCGGTCAATGGCATTGCAGAGATCGTGTCTCCTTGCATTAAACCCTTTTTTATTGGCATTCTGTCGCTTTCTTTATGGAAGACTTCCTGAAGGCCTGGGTCCACTGTGAATTTCTTCCAGTGTCAGAATGGTTTGCTTCTGTGCTAGTTGGTGATCTTGCGCGTCGAGTGGTTGCAGCCAAATTTAAACGCACGCACGAAGGATATAAACAGCAATATCCACATGTTATTTTTTCCCCTTCGGTATTCCAGTATATTCATATAAGCTTTGTCGATGCCCTGATTCTGCAGTGCCTGCATGACTGCTGATATCTCCACTGAATCAAATGCCTTCTTGTAATCTATAGAGGCTATGTATAGGAATCGGGCGCATTCTACGCATTACTCTATCACCTGATTTAGAGTATGGACGTGGTCAATTGTGGAGCAGCCTGCACGAAATCCTGCTTGATCCTTTGGTTGATAGAACTTTAGTGTCGCCTTAATTCTAGTAGGGATTATTTAGTGAATATTTTCTGGAAAATTATAGGTGTAACATTAGGAGACAAGAAGAGGGTAGAGTGGATCAGGATACAAACCGGGGTTAAGGATATCATGGTTGAAGTTAAGAAGAAGAAGAAATGGATATGGGCTGGGCATATAGCGCGCAGGCAGGATAACCGCTGGTCATTGAGAGTTACTGACTACATCCCAGAGAAGACAAGCTGGTTAGGGGGAGACAGAAAGTTATGTGGGCAGACGTGAGAATAAGAAGTTTACGGGTATAAAGTGGCAGCAGCAAGCACAGGAGCGAGTTGACTGGCGGAACATGGGAGAGGCCTTTGTCATGCAGTGGACGTAGTCAGGTTGATGATGATGATGATGATGATGATGATGATGATGATGATGATGATCTTGGTAGTGGTTCAACACTATTGGACGCGGTAGTTCTGCGCAAAACTGCTCAGCCGTCCCTCCTGCGAGCCGTGTAACTTTGCTCGCGTCATGCTCGCTCACGTGTGCGATCGTGCTGCCAGCGGCGGCTGCTTTAATCCCCGCATACCTACTGGCACGCCTCGCCGAGCAGCAGCGACTGTGCCGGAGCGAGCGGCAGGCGCCCCGCCGCCACCGCCTCTCACGTACATTTCCTATACGGTATAGTGCATACGTGCAGCCGTCAAATCTGCATAGCACCGAAGCCTCCCCGCCGGCAGCTTAGATTGCCGAGTGCGCTGCGGGAGACGAGCATGGGAAGAGTCGCAGACGCCCCCCCCCCCCCCCCCCCCCGCAGTTGTAGACCGATAGACCTCCCTATCCTTCTTTTTTTCTCTCTCTGTTCGAGCTCGTCAAATGCAGCGGTGTCGCGAGACCCAAGGCCGTGAGTAGCGGAACGGAGACGCCGTCATAAAAGTGGCAGCGGAGCTTAGCAGGCATGCCCTGGTACCGGGATGCAATCATTTTATACGGCTCTGCGTAAGACTCGATTGGATGGCAAGTTTTTTTCAGATCACTCTCTCTCAAATATATATATATATATATATATATATATATATATATATATATATATATATATATATATATATATATATATATATATATATATATATATATATATATATATATATATATATATATATATATATATAGGAAGTGTTATTGTATAGTTTTATACCTCTGTACTGTGTTTTCGCACACTTTTTATTCTATTTATGCAAGCTTACTGACAAGGTGTAGCTTCCTTGCCACTCATTATTAGGATATAAAGATGCCAACCACACCGAAAGCTACCAACGACTGATTTTGAATTCAATACGGGAATATGAGATTTTCGCACTATATGTTACCCGACAACCCTCGATAGTGACGTCAAAGAAAGCACAGACGACACCTTTTTACCCTCTTGACTCAGTTGTAGTAATGGAGATAAAAATGCGAAGTGCAGGAAAATGCAACATTCCGCCGGCAGCGGCCGAACCTGCCTAACGTTTTCGCCTGCAGCCGAAAAAGCAAACGAACAGAACTTTAAACTAGCCGTATATCAGCCATTCGCAAACATGCAATCCCAACAAGCCCACTTTCCAGCTTTGGCGAGCTGTGTGAAGCTTAAGAAACAGATGGTTGATCCTAGAAGAACCTATCGTAGCCTTCTTGGCCGATGCTAGGTCGTACTTCGGCGTAAAGTAAGTAGAGTCGAACCATAGCCTGTCACAGATCGCGCTAGAATGTCCCAGCTCCGGACCTGCCGTTGAAAGCGGTCTGTGGCAGGCCCGGTACTCGTACACAGCCTCCGCCACGCTGTGTGGCTGCGCGGACTTCCTCCGTCAGTGGCCGCGATTGATAAGCAGTGGCGCGTGAAAAGTAACGGTGCGAGGTGCTTTCTTTCATTTTTGTGTGTGTGTGTGTGTGTGTTTGTGTGTGTGTGTGTGTAAAAGAGAGAGAGAGAGAGAGAGAGAGAGAGAGAGAGAGAGAGAGAGAGAGAGAGAGAGAGAGAGAGAGAGAGAGAGAGAGAGAGAGAGAGAGAGAGAGGACACACGACGTCACGTTTCATCTCGAACTCTAGGAGCTTCGCTCTTAGAAGATTGGTTCCCACTCGCCATATAGACCATGAGCGGCTCTGTCTATGCTCCCACGTTTGAATCCACGTAAGTGCCTGATCAAGTGTACAGGACAACGAGTGCCACCTTAGCTCAATTGGTAGAACACCGGGCCTGTCATCCGATGGTCGCACGTGTAGCCACTACCGGCGGCGAGTTGCCTTTTAATTTACTTCCATTTATTCCCGTTTATATGATAACTGATGTAATATAGTTAAACACTACCCACAACGTTCTTCTCTGACTTCATTAAGGTCGTTTTTAACAAAGAGACTAGCCCTTAAAATTTTCTCCTTTTGAACAGCTTCGTACAGTATTTTTGTCGCTCTCGTTTTGTGCCGCACTTGCTGTGTTACGATGCTCAGGAACACCGGGGCGGCGCCGTCACTGCGGGCAACGCTGGATGCAGAGCGGAGAGTACGAGACGGGGGACCCTGTCCAGTGATCGACGCCAATTCAATATTCCTCGCGATGTTTGAAAAAAAATATTGCGCCAGTTTGTTCAGCTTTTTCTCTTGTGGCGTTCCAGGTTCGCTTTTTAACGCCGCTTTAAAAATCTGTAACGGTCGTTGTGACTCTCTCATTTCGACTTCTTATCTACGCGGTGATTTAATTTCACTAGTCTCGGGTATGTGAAAGCGGAAGTAATTGAGAAGCTTGTTTTGCTGCAGTGCTCAGGGAAAAAATTGCGAGCAATGGGTATACGGTGTTAAAAAACAAGTTTGCTATCTGTTTATCTATAGTCATGTTTTTTTTTTTAATTTGTCCTCTTGTGGCTCTCAAATCGACATGTCGAAGCTCGAGAACTCTGTAAGGCTGGCGCAATCGAAACCGGGTGCCTAGAATTGAGTATAGCCTTTTTATTTTTAGGCTAATTTTATGACATCGAACGCGGAACGTGCTTTAATAGTATTTATATATTTCTTTTTTTACCTATGTTTCAAGAAAGCCGTCATTAAAAGCGGTCGCATTTGTGAAATTCTTGCATTGAAAATCGTTTATTGAGGGAGGGCTGCCCCCCCCCCCCGCACACCCCTCATGCGCACGCCTATATATGCGTGATCTTAACTTTTGCGGTGGTACAGACTTGTTTTTTTTTTCTTTCGTTTTCCAGATCAAATTTCTCGATTATTTTTGTGTACGGATAGGTCCCGCTTGGAGTTTTGCTTTTTTTTCTTAATCACTGACAAACGTGAATAATTTTAGGGTAACATCAAAGAAATACTTGTTTTATAGTAAATAAACATGTTATCGAAATTGGGGCGCCTACTCAATATAGAAACAGTACTG